TTTATTTCTCCTTGACTTAGACTATTATATTTCATATATCATCTTAATTTGTCTCCTGGTTTTAGTTTTTCTCCATTTTCTTTTGTTTTGATGCATCACCCTTTCATCATCATGGATGAAGGAATTGCCTAACTCATGAAAAACCAAAAATTGAGTCTTTTCTACTATAATAGACGCTTACTTAATCATTTAAATATCATGCAAGCATGGAGACTTAAAATACTTAATTCTGATAAAAAATAATCATTTTGCTATAAATTTAAATCAAGCATTATGTAGTTAATTAAGATCACTGCATAACACAATTGAGAATCCGTTTATCATTATTCTTGATGAATAACAATTTCAATGTTTGATTATACTTTTATTATAATAATAACTATTATTCCACAATCTCAATTTCGTGATACTTCTGAATAGTTAATATCAATCTTTCCTTAGTATTAGTTATTCCAAACAAGTAGAAATGGCGGAAGAAATAATTTTGGATAAAATTAAGCATTGATCTTCTTTATTTGTAATATATATGACATGTTTTTTGCCTTTTATTTAAAGAATCATTTACATTAATTGAAATTAATATACTATACTACTGTGATAAAAATTCTTTGTCGGATATGTTTTGCCTTCATATAGTATGTCAAATTTCTTCCCAAAAATAATTTTATTAATATTAAAATTGCCTTTCACATCAATACGTATGCATAGTTGGAAAAGCATATGAGTAGAACAAGAATATTATATTTTCGTCAAAGGTATAAATTTGTCTCATCATTATATATACCATTTGTGGATCCTACATAATGTAACATCTTACCTATGCTTTAGGTCAGTCCCCCTCCTTTTGTACACACAGATGTAATTTTTTTTATATTAATTAAATATACTTAACATTATTATTCTTATTATTGTATTGTTAGGTCCTTCTTGTTGTTGATGTTATTACTAACTAAAAATTTTAAGAATGTTGAAAAATTCTATTTTCAGATATTATTATGGGTTGATGTCAAACATTACAAACTATCATGATCATGTAATCAAAATTTAGTCCACCTAAATAATCACTTTTTATTCTAATTTAAGCATCATTTTCTAAACTAACATAAAAATTATTGATTCGGGAACTTATTTTTGTCGGTCCATATGTAATAGAATATGATAAATTAAAATATCTCTTGCTCCATTTAGCATTTTTATAAGTTAATATTCATAACAAATTGTAGATTGTAAAATATAATAATATGTAGGAAGAGTGACTTTAGTTTCTTGAATATTGATGGAGTTAGCTTCTCTAATTCCTTTTCTTATTCTCTTCTCCTTTAAATCTTTTTTTTTTCAAACGCATGTAGATAGACACTAACCCCCTCCAGCACAAGGTTGAGAGCGAAATTTACTCTAGTTTATGACTGCTAATGTCACAGTGCTTTGAAACAGAGTCATAATTCATTTCATGTGCCTTAAAACAAATTATTATTATATTATTAGCATATAATTTTTTTTTGAAACGATTAGCATATAAATTATAATTTATATGAACTCATTCTATGTCCTTGAGAGGAAAACTCCTTTCTTTTCTTAATAATAAGATTTGGGATATTTTCAAATTTTACTTAAATATAATTTCCTATAGATGATTTGAAGAGTGCAAAAACTCTCATATCGATATGATGCATTCAGGATTTTACTTTCATCAGAATACTCCCTACACAGAGGAAAAACTTTGAACTTCCCTCAAATATATATAGTAAACAAACATGATGAGAAGGAAATTTCATTAATTATTTCATCAGTAATATATTCTTTTATATCCTTGCTTGAGAAAGATGGTTTAGTTCATGTTTTGACAGAAGATATTAATCTCCCATCCTTGCTGAACAGAATAATTCCATCTAGTTTCGTGTTCACCCCTCCTGTCCTTAATCTTATGCATAGATTCTCGTGTTTGACTTCCTAAGCTTTCATTCTCACAAGACCTCCTTCACAGACAGAAGGGTAGACATCATCTTTTTTCTTTATTATTATGTTCATCTCATGGTCAAGTCGGGCAGCACAAGAAAAATGGGAAAAAAAGAAAAGAAATGGTGTGGGGGATAAGATCATATAAATATATAAATATATATATATATTTATGTGTGGAATGAGTCTTTGCAAATTGAAAATGAGAAAGATATTTGACCCTTTTTTTAAGTGTAGGGCACCTAAACATTTGCATTGAGAGCATATCAATTAGGTAGACCTTCCAATAGACGACATGGTGCAGAAAATGTGTCCACATTAATTTAGCTTTGACTAGGACAATTATGAGATACATATTATATATTTGATTAAATTAATGTAAATTTTAAGTTCCATTCTAATAAATTAGGACGTGGTTATTATGATCGATTTGTTCGATGATTTCAAATTATAATTTTGAGTTTGAAGTTATTAATGAGAGAATTTTTATCCAATTATATTCCCTCTATGCTTTAAGATCACAAATCTTTAATACATACATAAGTACACGTAATAGATTTCATCACTTTTATTCCCTTTCTTGGGCTAAGAATTAGATAACAACAAATATTAAAAAAATCCAAACTAATAATCAAAGTTGTTTGTATTTTGTAGGAAGGAAAGAGAAATGATTAAATTGGGTGGAAGGAAAAGATGAAGGAGAAATAGGTGGATCATTTGCCAATGGATATGGGCTTGTTAGGTTTCTTTGAAAGGTCAAGTGGGTCTATCGACAAGGGCACGTTGAACCTTGAAGCCTGAAGCCTGAAGCCTGAAAGCCTTCGTCTTGTTCCTGGGCTGGTGACCTAGAGCCGGTGCAAAATGATTCACCCATTCACCTTCTCAAAATGAGAGATAGCTCCTCGGATTGCATGGACTGCACTTAGGGCCACGTATACCGAGTTCAATTTGATTAAGTAGGCTGGCACTTCCCTAGATTTGTAACCAAAAACTTGGTTTTGAGGAATTTTATTGGAGACATTATATTTGTACACACATTTACTCATGTTGAATGAAAACTTCATTCTTCATTTTCTCAAAATTTCAATTCTATGAAATCCTGTTAAGTATATATTTTGTTTCCCTTTTATGGATTTCGAGCTGTTTCCAATGCATAGTTGAATGGAGTTAAGCAATGTAATGGTAGTTCTCTTTCTCATGCTCAAGCAGTTTAATTTTAATCATCAAGGCCACTCAGAGCCAGAAATTTCCTAGAAAATGTTTGGCATATCCGTTGACAGAGAATGTGCCTCCCAATAAGAACAAATGAAAGGGGATTTCCTGGCAACATGCTTCTTCTTTATTAGGGTTTTCCTAAACACCTTGTTGACCCATGTTTAGTTGTCTCATTTATGGAAATAAATTGTATATACGGATAGGATCTTCTCATAAATTTTACTTTTCTATTTTTAATTCACAAATGTGCATTGATTCTGCCAGCTTTGAACCTGACAGAAACCCATCATCCATCCATGCCAATAGCAATGGCGGCATGGCCTTGAGAACCTACCTTTAACAGATTCATTCAAGGTTCCCATGAACCTACATATCATTAACTGACTTGTACTTGGATATCTACAATGTTCAAGTTCTAGTTAGGATCAGCTGAAACTACATATGATCAACAATTGTTAGTGTAATTGTCTTTTTTATTTCGATTAATTTCCTGCATAACCACATACAACCATACATGTTATAAGTTTGTCAAACTTATAATATATAAAATACAATAATTTTAAATTCAAATTCTCTTAATTTCATGTCATTCTCGTATTTTTTTAATGAATCGTTTTTAAAATTGTCAGGTTTATCTATACATATTATAGGTATCAAATCATAAGAATGGGAAAGAAATGTGAAAGCAATTTTTACCAGTGGAGAATCAATCCATTTTGTGATAAAGGGGGTAACCGTTCCGTAAGCCATAAAAAGGGTAACAGAAAATCTATATAATATAGGAAGTGGTTCCTTTGAGAAAGAGAACATATCAGCTATACACTGATATGTACTAATACTATATTAGTATTGTATCATGAACAACTCAGTTCTTTGTTTCCATGTTGGGCTGCCGACCTCTTATCAGTGCAGATTCGGGAGCAGCAGATAATCACCAATAGAGACAATATCCAGTGCCAGATATCTTTGAGCTTTCATGTGAATAATAATAGTAATAAAATACTTCCTCCCTTGCATTTTTTTGTCTATCTTTCTTTCTGGAGATGTTCTGAAATAAAATGTAGATAGGACAGACACGTGTATATACATATATATTCTTGATCCATAGCCCACAGCTGTCAAATATGTGGTTGCAGGCTAAGATTATATATTTTTCCTGGTCCTTCCATGGCAGAGGCTTTGGACAAGTCTCTATCAGACCCAATGAGCCGACTGAAAATGTCGATTCATTGGCTTCTACCATTCTGGCTGGCTAATCTTGAATCATCCAAAAACAAGGCCATGGAGCATGAACTGAATCAGTACAGTTTCCATATTATTTAATGCATCGGAATTGATCATGAGATTTTAAAACAAAAAATTACCCCAAGAGAGATTTAATCAATCCAGGGTGTTTCATGAGCTGCAGCAAATGGAACAATTTAGCAACATGTGAAAATTCTTGCAGCCGTTTTTGACTTTGTTCATATGGTACAAGATAATCGTTAATCATCGCATCCACATCAATCTTTAACCTTTGTTTCATTAACTTTGTTACGAAAGGAAAAGTATAATTTCTTTTTCTTTAAATATTTATTTTTTAAAAAAAAAATTATTAAAATTTAAGTAAAAAATATTTTTTTTTTAATCTTTTATAAAGGAACAAACACTAAATCTATAGCTAAGCGATCTAAACATCTATTGGCCCAAAAGCATAGATGATCATTATGTATTGTTTCTACACTTTTGTTGTCCTTTATAAAAGAAGAAAACAGTAAACCCCAATGTCATTGGTTAGCAATATTTATTCCTTTGTTAGGTCTCCAGTCCTATCTCAAATAGTTCGGCAATGGGCATGGTATTTCCTATCTTTTAAATATTCGTATCTGAATCCCATTAGTTGTTTGGGTATCTAAATTTTATAAATATTCAACTAATATTTAAAAATTAATATTTAAACTTTATCAAATTAGATAAATATAATCTATCATAACACACACATTACTCATTTTAACCCGTTAATTTTATAATTTTATCACACAATAGATACTTCACAAGTTAAAGTTAATATAAATTTTAAATATTTAATTTAATTTTAATACATAATTAATGTAAAATTCACAACTCTCATTAAAATTATAATATCTTTCCTTAATGTAGGATTTACGACTTCTTGTTGAGAGGGTAATAGCCTTGTGGCTATCTGGTGAGAACGTACAATTTTTTGATGTGAAATTCACATGACATTTAAATAGATTATTGTCATCTTGATCTTGAGAAAACCTAAGTCATGCTATTTTGGACCGACAATTTCGGCCCAAAATTGGATCGGGGGAAGAGCCAAGTTTCCAAGTATGCTGGGCCTAAATTGGGGCCTGGAGCTGTGGGCCCACCCAAAAGATGATTGCGATCCTCCGACGTCCATCACGCACATGTTTGAAGACTTCCGCCTTATATAAGTGTTGCACCAGATCACTTTTGTCTTCTGTCTATCGATTACCTGCCCTTTCCCACTCCCACGCGCCATTGGAGCCTCCCATTATCACTACTTATATAATTACCCTATGCTCTTCTATTTCTTTTAAATATCAAATTAAAGATAAAATTAGTCTAAAGAGAAGGTTCGATGGGGACTAGAAATTTGAATTTTAAACTTTATTTTTTTAATAAAAAGAGTAATTTAAAAATTAAAAGGTCAACAACTATCCACATAATTATCTTTTTTTAAATATAAATAATTATAGTGATATTAAATAATATGAATATAACTTTGACATTTTAATCCAATCTTGATTCATTCAATATTATCTTTTATCTTCATTGGTTGTTGACTCAAAACATTGAATTAGAGGTTGGTTACTTCTTTAAGTAGACAATATCATTTCCTTTCATGACTATTTCTCTAGATATTAATAAATGGCATGCCCTCTTCCTTTAGTACATCAAATAATAATAAATCTATACACTATTATATAACATTAAATTTATCATGTTCATAGGTTTTAATTGTACTTTATAAATATATAGTATTAATAGTTATATCGATAAATACAATAATAAATATATTTTTTAAAGTGTTATATGACATGAGATAACTTAATTAAGACATTTATTAAATAAGTCGGTCATAACTTGTTATAATTAATGTGCTAAACTCTTATTGGTGTGTTAACAAATGGAATAATCCAATGTTGCGTAAGCTCACGCGCTTGAAAGTGGAGTGCGGGAAATGTTAGGTGTGATTGGATTGCGGGAGATGCGGGGCTTGAAAAAAGAAATGATAGATTGAAGAGAGAGAGAGGAAATAAAAAAATG